GACTTACAAAAGCAGGGCATACATGGGTAGATTTTTACACGAATGTTCGTACGTAAAATATCAATTGGAATGTCTGATACTGGCATTAGAAACTTTCCGATTGTTGTTTAATTTTTGCTTTTATTTAACATTGTATTTTGGAATAAATGGTGTTTCTGATGAAAACCACATTGACTGTTAGAAATTCATTCCATCGAGAAAAAAATTCCAACATGCTCCTTCGTAAAGTTTCGGGAATATTGTAGTTTTTCTTTGTTGATTGCACCATACTAATTTATACATATTCGAAAGGAACGGTCCGACAATGACTTCTTTTGTACAAAATTCTAACCGTGTCTATCCTACTTATCTAATGTATGATAGTTCCAAAAGGTTATAGAAAATGCAGTTTTGATTCCAGGTAGTTGGCAAATGTTTGACCCTCTGGAGCTGGTAGCTTATTAAACCATATTTGTAAGGGAATAGTCATATGTGTATTGGCATCGTCATCTCCCCAAACATCACCACATTGCTGTTAGATAACACAGCTCCAGGCTTATCTTGGCACATTTGCGGATGCAAACCAAATGTATGAATGACCAAAACCTTCATTTTCTAGTTTTGGATAGAGTGGGGAAGTTAGGCAGTTTTTTTTTGCTTTCTGTCCATTGGGGAGATTTCCCTTCACTTTCTATTTTGGAGCTGCAACAGCAAGTGAGCTGAATTCATTAAAAACTAAGCGGAATTTCCACCTTAGATAGTTTTCACTGAAAACGTTGTCGCTATTAAAAGATTTACAATGACCTCTTATTCTGGTGACAATCTACAGCTTTGGATTTCCTTTCCTTATCTTCTATCCCCGTGGTTACCTGGACCAATAGTAAGGGTAAAGATACCCAGCCGGGCTGTACAGACAACAGTTCTATTCCTTCCCTACTGCATCCAAAGGTTTTTGCTATGGATATCAAACTCTTCACCCTTTTGTGAAAAACCCTGTGAGTGTTGTTAATACAAAATATATATTAAACAATGTTAAAGAAATAAAGTAGAGGGCTTTTAGTTGATGGAGATCTTACATGTGTTATCCAAAATAATTTCCTGCCACACATTAACTCTTCTAATATACTAAACAATGATTGGAAATATAATCACTCACTTTGCTATGTCCCCAAATCTACTGGTATTATATTTGTAGTAATCCCAAAAACTAACACAAAACAACAAAAAAACATTTCACTGGCCAGTTTCTCAGAACATAAAAGTGCGTATTATTTATTTAAACATAGCTAAAAAAACCATATTGCAAACGCAACCCTATTTTATATATATATATATATACACCCTATATGTATATTTAATTATTTATATATTTATAGATGTGTAATATACATACACTTTAACTTCAGAGTCCATCCTGTCCATTGTGCATAATACTATCAATGTACGCTTGGGTTGTACGGCCTTTTTGCAGACCTGTCAACACAACTGGAAATGTGCATATCCTTTACTAAATCCGGTCCAGTAAGTTTACATACAAAGAATGAAAACAGATTTTAAAAGAGCAACACACACACAAATGAAACAAACTGCAAACGCACTGTGTTAACACAGGATTTGAGGTCACATAAAAATGTATGCCTTACTGGCTACAATACTTGGCCTCAAAAGTTAGTGGATACCAGCACTGAGGAAGAAACTATTACATAAGTCATGGTCTAGGGACTAGCACGTATCCCAGAGGTAGGCAACGTTGGTACTTCACCTGTGGTGGAGTACTGCCTCTGGGAGTCATGCCTGTGGGTGTCACAGTCATGCAATGCTTCAACAACAATTGGAGTGCCGAGGTTGCCAACCCCTGATTTATCCTACACGTTCAAGTGCCGCAACTTTCATCAGAGACTTTGGAGAAGAGTGTTTTATATTGTGACAAAATGTCAATTTTATGCTGCCGATAAAAGCAAATAAGCTGCCAATGTACAAGAATTGAAAAAGAAACTGGCATTAAGCATGTAGGAGAAGTAAGGGCCAACTCACACATTTGTGTTATGTGCATTAAAACCCCAACTCACTAAATCTGCTCAGCTCTGGTGCACATTTATTGCAGCGTACCACAGTGCACTGTAACATACTAGTGTGTATTCTGGTGTGCTGCCTCAGAAAAATGATGCATGTACTTTTTTTGTCCATTCTGGTGCATTGGCAACCTTTTCAAAATGCATGATATAATACTTGCTTGATAGCGTATTTTTTATGTGTTTATAAGACAGATGCCTTGTAAATTCTACCACACAAAGTGGTGTGGGGTTACTCAGAGCATATGTTATACTGATTTTAGGATATAACATTCAGTATTCTTAAAGCTGATTATTTGTTCTATAATGAAGCATGACGTCATGGGCCCTCCCTTCTGCATTTGAAAAATATACACTATACACTATAACAAGCGTCATGATGGCAATTAGAGATGAAGTGGTTACGTCCATTTCTCTCCAGAATTTTGGACAGTCCTGTTATTCAGTTCCCAAAAAGAGACAAACTTGCTAAAAATGTACAAAGGTTTTACCAAATCTGGCAAATTAGGAATGGTATCAGACAATCAAGGTGAAGTCTAAAGTATATCTAAATCCAAATCCTTTTTTTTGTTTTGGAAAGAGTATGAAAAGGTTAAAATTATTGTCTTTTGTTTCTGCTCCTTGTGTCCCATTGGGGAGATCTGAGATGCAATCACTCCAAAGTGAAGGAAATTCCCTTTTTGACATTTATCACCGTAACTAGTGTCCCTATTGGAAGACTTCCCCTCTATTCTCTTCCAGTGACAACGGTGATCAAGCCAAATATAGAGGGTGAAGCTCCTCAGCACAGACAACAATAAAAACCCTTGCAAGGTTTCTAATCCTTCAAGTGACTCTAAACCCAGAAGTTAAATCCTAAAAATATATTCAAGTATTTTAACTATTAACGCAAATGTATCTTATTTATGTATCACTCGGCTGCAGATCCTCAAATCATCTCTGAATTGGTGCTGACACTGTCCTTACTCCTGGAGGGTGGACACTTTTGTTCCCCATGGACCCTGTGTGTGTTGTAAAGTAGTCACAATTCCAAGCTCACTCCCGTGATGGACTACAATCTCCATACAAATTAGAACACTAAACATGAAATTGTAGTCCATCACAGGAGTGAGCTTGGAGTGGTGGCTACTTTACAACACACACAGGGACCATGGGGAACAAAAGTAGCCACCATCCAGAAGGAAGGACAGTGTCTGCACCAATTCAGAGATGATTGGAGGATCTACAGCCGAGTGATACACAAGTAAGATACATTTTGTTAATAGCTAAGGTTAACATTTTAAGATTTAACTCCTGAGTTTAGTGTCCCTTTCAGTATTCTGTGCAAACCAATTTTTTAAATAGCTTTGGATGCACTTTAAACTGTAAATCCAGCCAAAACCTTTTTTAGTTTTGCCTTCGGTAGGAAAGGATTAGAACCTCTGTCAAGTTATCACTACCATCTGTGGCATCATTATAGAATCTGTAGACAGAACATTAAAATCTGCACTAGAGACCCAGACAGAAACAATAATTATTCGGATTTAAGCCTTCCCCTATTTTACTAAACAGAATGGCTTCTTGCTTCCAAATGTACATGCCTCTCAGGCTAGAAATAAAATGATGAAAATGGATGTAATTTTAGCTTTCAACCTATATGCAGGCTGCCATTCCTAAATCACAAAAACTGAATTCTGGGAAATCAGGGTAATGACATGCAAAATTTCTATTTGACACAAAAAATAATATGGTTTCTTACATAGTTTGGAACAAATATAAATGCAATGCTAAGTTATCCCTGTTTTTGCACTCACCTTTCCTTATGTCTTAAGTAAGTGATTTTATCTTTTAAAAAATCCCTTCCCAATCTGATATAAAAAAACTGAATTCTTTTTAAATAATCTCTTACATTTAGTACATTTTAAATCCAGATTGATTGTGCTCTGTTTATTTGCTTAGAATCAGTTTGTCGTAAATAGTGACTGCTATATTATGAGAATGATTTCAGAAAACACAACTTTATTAACCCAAATAAACAGATCATTGTGATATAATTTATAAAATAAAGCATTATTTTTTTTAAATGTCTTGCTTACACAGGAAATTAATCTGTGAAACTAGAGTTAACCAGAACAAAATTTCAAAAATATATTTTCAGGGCACCTAGACGTATCTTCTCATTTCAATTAAAATTACAATGTACAGCCTGCAACAACTGGATAATGTTAAAGAACATTATTTAGCAGGAAATAGAAGGTGTAATACAGTCAAGAGAAAATAAATGGCAAATATATTTACAATACAAAGAAACAAAAACCATGACAAAAAGTTTATCAAACATATCACAGTGATTGTAAAAACACCCTGATTTGTCAAAGTATGTGGTTTTTATCAACACTGTCGGCTCACTAGGCAATTGCATTTCGTTTGCCATAATACAAATCTCAGGGTTTAAAAATAACATTCTGGATTAATAATTCTAGGCCTGAATATAATTGGAAGATTTTTCTTTACGGTTTTACTATTGGCTGGTATGAAACCACAATTTAATCATTTTTGTTTTGTACACAGAACAAGATTATAAATAACAGGAGTGACCCGTAGTCTGATAAGACTCTACACAACTAAGTGATAAGACATTTACATGTATGGCTGGTAAGACAAATGAATTACACATGTGCAGATGTAGTTTACCAAAATGAAAACTGTGTTAAATGATCCACACGTCTTATAAAACTCTCTTATCTCCTTGTTTTAACTACCGTGATGGCATTTCTTTTTTTTAAACTTCATTATTGCAATGAATTGTTCCCTAATATTTTTAGAAAAAAATATTGTGTGGTATTTTATTGAATTTACATCAGTTAAAAAGCAAGCATGTCATATCTGTTTTCTTTATTTTTAAAGAAAAAGTAAATAATTTATTTTTTTTCACAGGATTTACATGATTATTATTATTTTGTATCACAGTTTTTCTTAAGAGATCTAGTTCAACAATTGGATATTCATCCCTTATATGCATGGAGTTTCTTGAGATACTGGTTAGTAATTTCATTGTATTCTATAGCTATTTTCCTTCTTTGTTAGAAGTATTGTCCATTCTGATCACGTTCTTCACAGTTTAATGAGCTAAATGACACGTCTTTTTTTTTTTCTTAGAATATAGTTCCTCCAAGATAAATTTGTTGTTGCTAATACACTCTTCCCCCGCACCCTCCCTCACCCCAATAAAACTAAATTAAGCAATTTCCTGATATAAAAATCTGAGTTTGGGTTTCCGAGCAGAGCTCATGCACACATTGTCGCTGATGATGTTTGGCGCATTTAGACGTACTTCCCGATCTCAGCAATATTTCTAGGACTTCAGTGATTTTCCCATGTAGCTCACAGTCTGTGCTGTATGTCACTCACCAACAGTGTATAATTAAGGCACTCAATAAATTATTTGGTTTTTATGGTAGGTCCGATGCAATTACAGCCAATCCTGAACTTTGTCTAATTGTCCCAGTGTGTACGGCCTTCGGGCAGTCGGGAGTTAAGACACGGCCATTTTCTCCTACACTCCCTGTAATGGATAATCTGGCTTTGTTTCGTATGGCTTCAGAAAAGGTCAGCTGAGCAACAAGAGAATGAATAACAAACAAAAGAAGAAAAGTTACTATATCTGTTTTGTCACTATAATAACCACACAGAAACATCAATATAATGATAGTTATATTAGACATCTGCATTTTAATGTTACTTTCACAGGAGCTATTATAACTAAGGGTAAATTTGTAAATTTATTTCTTGATTAAATTTTAATGAATATAAATATGAGAATGTCAAAAATAGTTTCCTTGGTGTTTTATAAACTGTGTTTACTGACTAATTTAAGTCTGTTAATTTCAAGTACATTTTAAAAATAATTTCTTAGCTTTATCAATAAATATATAAGGATAAGTCAATTATTCTGGAAAAAAAAGTATACATTTTTTAGTTGCAAACTGATTATCAATTGGTTAATTACTGAGTTATTCTGCCCATCAGGATGCCCTATAACCTAAGTACACTTTGAAACTACACACATAAAAATAAGCCATCAATATGAGACATTTAGAGAAAATATCCTTAGGACAAATAAGGATTAAAAATAATTTTACGTATGACATCACCAAATCAATACATTTTATTTTCCAACTATTACTTTCCAATCTATTTACCTATTATTTAAATGTAAGCTCTTATACATTTTAAAAAATGGTAGATATAAAATAATGTGTACTGGTTTACAGAAAAAATAAATATCTACTCAGTGTTAGTCTACGCTATGTTAGTTTTAACAAAAATATATAATATCTTATTATCAGATCAGAGCTGGAACTAAAATTATTCTGACGCAAACTAAATTCACACAATTATGCTTATGATATATCATATTATACCTGTGAGGCGTTTTTCTAATTATAGCGGTTTATTTTTTTAAAACACGTAAACAAATAACTCAGATTGTTAAATTAGCATACAATATTTATACATTTTCACAAAAGAGGTCTAATATTTAAAATATCTAACTTACCAATTTTTTTTCATAAAAAGCTACTATGCAAGTTGAGGATAAAGAATTATTGTATGTAAAATTATTTCATCATATAAATTAAGTCTGCTGATGAAATGGTCTCTTCAAATTCTTAGCTAGCTATCTTCATATAGGCTAATGTTCCCCAAGAAACACAATGAATGAATGTCTCATATAAAATCTGGTGGCATATGTCTTATTTAGCTACAGGAAATATAAAATAGCTGCCGCCAACTCAAAAAGGTTAATTTTCCGTTGGCACATGGACCAAAGCTGTGTTCAAATAGATAAATAAGTATAGTACTGTGACTTGAGGATCCATTAGTCAACCTTATCATTACATACACATTCAAACCCTCCAAATACCTTTAGGAAATGGCATTTTATTCTGAAAATAGCTAAGTCAAGAAGAACAATCTGTACAGGGTTGTATGTACATCACTGCTTGCAAAGCAGCCTGTTCTTAAGAAAAAAAAAATATTACATGGCTAAGTCCATAGTAAAATAAGCAGATCTGGCCTAATCACTTAAGACTGCCAGATTTATGTCAGTTTGGTCTTATGCACATCTGGGCATATGTGAAAAGCCTATTTGCTTGAGTATAAAGCAAGTGTTTATATTACATGAGTCACAAAACAATAAGGGGTCTATTCACTTAGCTGCCGTAGGCAGCCGAGTGACTAACTGACCCCAAGCGAAGTGAGCCGAACACTGTTCGGCTATTCACTTCAGGCTGGTATGGTTGATTCCAGCCGTATACCGGCTGAAATCAGCTGTACATCGGGTGGCTTTGGGTCGGCCGAAAATGCTCAGCATGTTCGTTTGACCTGAAGTGCAGAAGGAGTTCGACTCAGCCGATCCAACATCTGGATCGGCTAAGCCGAACCTCCGGCAGGCTACTTGCTGCTGTCGATTCTCATAGATGCCAAACAGCAGTGAGTAAATAGCCGAATGCCGCTAAACGAGTTCAGCCGAATGCCGCTAAATAGCTCAGCTGTTCTACTCGGTCCCTCTGTGGAACCGAGCAGAACTAAAAAATAGTTTAAAAAGTATTAAAAAATATATGAGAAAATGATTGTGCGGAGCTAGCAGTGACAGCTAGCTCCGCCCAACTGTTTTCTATTGGCCGGGGGGTTCTGCTGCCGTAACAAAAAAAAGGGCACACCATAGGAATGCATAGCTAGATTCCTATTGGCTATTTCACTTTGCAATAGCCAATAGCAAACTAGCTATTGCACCCGCAATAGCTAGTTGTCAATCACCAGAGGGGGACCTGATGGAGAACTGCAGGTCCCCCTCTGCTGATTGACAGCAGCAGTGGGCGGGTGCAATAGCTAGTTTGATATTGGCTATTGCAAATTGAAATAGCAAAGAGGAATCTTGCTATGCATTCCTAGGTGATTTCTTTTTTTTTTTTTCTGACGGCAGCCAACAGCTCCGATGTCAGAAGAAAAAATAAATAAAAAAAAACGAGCAGGGAAAGGTTTACTCTGCTCGATCGAGCAAAGTGAACATTTCTGGGAGAAAGGTTATTAGAATCTATTAGACTCCCTGAGCGTCCGGGGGAGGTAACCAGGGACGCTGATCTCTCTGCAAGTGGCCGGAGCCAGCCGTAAGATCGCGGCTGGCTCCGCCCAGCTGTCAGAAGCAGGCTTGGCCAGCTTCGGCTTTCACCTCGGCTCAGTCGACTTCGGGAGCGGTAGGGCTATAGTGAATAGCCCGTAGAGGAGCGCTTCGGTTCTACTGAACCGAAGGGGTCCTGGGGACGAAGCTAGCGAAGAATCAGCTGAAGTTACGGCTAGATCCTTTGGCATCTTAGTGAATAGACCCCTAAATGTGCTGTTTCATCCTATCATTACCACCCTTTTATATCAGATTTATCTATATCTGAAATCTTATATTTAAAAAGTCAGACTTTTCAAACTTAAGTAGCTGCATACTTGTTCCAGGTCACTGACACACTAACAGGGTTATTCACAAAAGGGTGAAGAGTTTGGAGAAGGTAGGAGAAGTGAACAATCTAGGCCAAAATAGCTGATATTGAAAAATTCTCCAATTCAGCTCACTTTCCAGTTCAGCTATGTTGTCCTAGATTGTTCACTTCTCCTGCCTTCTCCAAACTCTTCACCCTTTTGTGTATAACCCTGTAGGTAAGTGAAATCAGCATCAGGATGGCAATCCAAAAACGTTTATATTTAAACACAAAAAGCAGCTCCTAAAATGACATTTTTTTCTCGAGTGAGAGCAATTCATGTGCTCTAGCTTTACAGCCTAGCTTCAGCAAAGTTTTGGATTGAGTCTAGAAGACTTCACATTGCTGCCAGCTTTGAATGTGTGCCTGTGACGCCTATGAGTAGATTGTTTCATCTTTTCCTGTCATTGTAACACCCATACAAGAAATGGGGAATCCTGTCTTGACGGAAAGTGAGGGAAAGTCACTCTAATCCTTCCCTCTGTAACTAAAATATAATACAACGTTTTGGCTGGAGTCGAGTTGTAAATTTGGGGAAATAATTGTTGCAAACCAAAATATCATAATTTGTTTCCTTGACTCAAAAATTAAGAAATTCACTATTAATAGTTACATTGACACTAAACTCAAGAGTTACATCTTAGAAATGCATTCAAGCACCTCAACTATTAATAAAAATGTATCTTATTTGTTTCTCAGTCGGCTGTAGATCCTCAAATCATCTCTGAATTGGTGCTGACACTGTCCTTCCTTCTGGAGGGTGGCTACTTTTGTTCCCAGCTTGCTCCCGGCAAGGACTACAATCTAAATATTCATTAGTAAACTAAACGTGACATTATAGTCCATCCAATAGTATACTAATTTGTATTGAGATTGTAGTCCATCACGGGAGTGAACTTGGAGCAGTGGCTACTTTACAGAACACACATACAGGGACCATGGGGAATAAAAGTAGCCACCCTCCAGAAGGAAGGACAGTGTCAGCACCAATTCAGAGATGATTTGAGGATCTACAACCGAGAGATACACAAATAAGATACATTTTTGTTACTAGTTAAGGTATTTGAATACATTTCTAAGATTTAACTTCTGAGTTTAGTGTCACTTTAAAAGAACAGAATATATCAGCTGCCTTTGTCTGTAATAAATTACTTAAAATGATACAAATATGTTGCTTCTATACTATATGCCATTAAACATTCTACCTAAGATCAGAAATCATCTCCTAAATTTACATTCAAAACAATCTGCAGGAAAAAGTTGATTTGAAGCTTTTTTGAAGTTAAGATAATGAAACATGGCATAAAAATAACATGTATAGTATAAACCCAAATATATGGCTATGGTAATGTAATTGAAACAGACAGCGTTAATCTGTCCGTAGCGCTGAATCATTTGTATCTGCATGTTTGGGTCACGCGTCACAGCACATACTCATGATCAAGCAGTTGTAGTGAAAAAAAAGTGGGCTGCTGAGGGGGTGGGACAACGAAAGCTGGAATGTTTCAATGATTGTAAACTTGGAAAATTCAACATACTTTTACAGTAATGTATACTCAAGGAGAATAGCCCTGTTTTTGATGATCTGCAACAACCTTGCACTTTCTTCACCTAGAACGTAAACAAAATAACAACGCTTGAGGTAAAGAATCACAATGTTTTGTTGCAGAATGGAAAGGGATGGGCAAAAAAAAACAACTTTTTTTGTGTAGTGAATGCAGCATAAAATGTTAATTAAAAAAATTACATTATACTTTCTGGCTTTGGTAATTTTATGATTAACTAGACGTTTGACATAATATTATTGTTATTATTATTATTATTATTATTACTACTATTATCATTATAACATATTATTATTATTTTTGTATTCTTTATTAAGTAAATTTAATGATATAAAAAATTACATCCTGTTAAATTAGTAAGCCCCAGTCTAGATCATACAGTAAATGGAGGTGGTTTACTAAAGGTTCAACTAGCATGAGTCCAACTAATTTACTTAAATCGATATTTAAAAAAATGGATATTAAAAAAAACAAATCACAAAATATCATTTAAAAATGAAAGATATGTTCTTGGATCTA